GCTAATGTCTTATTTAGTGATTGAGGATAAAATTATACTGTGTGCTTTTTTTACTAGGTATGTAGGGTTCTTCCCTAGTGGTCACAAATACTATTACTTTATTTCTCCTTGCTCAGGTTTGTTGTCTCTATCTTCTCTGCCATTTGAATGGGTCTATCCTCTCTGCACTTCGTGTGACTCCATTGGAGGTGTGCCATATAGGACATGCATCTTTCCATGTGTTTTTAGTATACTCTTTTTTTGGGTATGTATAAGTAGCCTTGATTATATGAATTACCTTATTTTGGTTTATGTATACATGTGGTATTTATCATTATGTGCTTTTGTTCTAGATTTCCTGATGAAGGCTCGTTAAGAGCTGAATCGCGTTTAGGTTTCATGGTCTCAAAATCCATATGAAAACATTTTTCCAAATGGAACGTAATTGCCCTATCCATGAAGCTGTAATTTAGTACAGATTGGGCCACAATGTGAGATATGTATAATTTTTAATTTTGTTAAATAAAATGTGTACTTTTTTTACCTTAACCATTTCCCGTCCGGCCGTTGTATATAAACGGCCAAACGGTGGCAGTGCAGGGTTGGGTGGCCATTTATAAATGGCCTCCCCGCACCCTGCTTGTGCGTGCTCCCTGGGAGCGCTAAGCACCGCGATCCGGTGCCCGCTGTGTCCTCCGGACACAGTGGAACACCGATCGTCGGACAGGACCTCTCTGCGAGGTCCCGATCATGTGATCACTGATTGGCCAATCAGTGATCACATGCAGAGTAGTAAGCAAGATATCACTTGTGACATCATTGCTTACTACGGGTGAAATCTGTGAATGATCAGAGAGATCGCATGGTACAAGGCTATTCACAACAGCCTTGTACCATGTGACAAGCTGTTACCAATCACAGCTCACACAGTAGTTCTCAATGGCTGCAAGAATGCAGCTAGAGAGGAGAAATTATTGTTTTTACAGCCTTTATGGGTGTAAAAGCAATCAGTGTAAAAAAAAAAAATCTTCACCCCCAAGTAGTACAGTGTCACCATGGTGACACTGTACTGCTAGGGTGACCGTATGTAAAAATAAAAACCCATAAATATAAAAATTTTTAAAAAAGCATAAAAATTATACATAAATGATTATATTATACATTATAAATTATATAATTGGGTGACATTATGTAAAAAGATTTTTAAAAATTATAAATTTTGGTTATAAACTAATTTGGGTTATTTTTTTTTTTTTTTTACTAGAAAGATAACGGAATAAATTTTGGCCAAGATTTATGATGAAATACTATTTATTTGCAATATTTTATAAGAAAAAAGCTTTTTTCCAAATTTTTGGGCATTTTCATTTACATAGCAAAAAAAATAAAAATCCCAGTGGTGAATAAATACCACCAAAATAAAGCTTTATCTGTCTCAAAAAAAATGCTAAAAAGTCATATGGGTACAGTGTTGCATGACCGCACAATTGTCATTCAAAATGTGATAGCACTGAAAGCTAAAAATTGGCCTGGACAGGAAGGGGGTAAAAGTGTCCGGACTGGAAGTGGTTAATGGTGTTGTTGTTTAGTACCTAGAGAGTCCCACTCTTCTCTACTCTTTCTTTAGTATATAGATTTTTGAGATGTGATACCTATATACTATTGACAGTCACATACTTGGCACAATTTAGTATTTAGCCCTATACGATTATGCCCAGTTTATTGCTTCACACTGATCTGAAGATCTCTTCTTTACTGCTGCAGGCACTACTCTGGAGACCTGCTAGCCGAGATAAGAGGTGGAATGCAGTTGGTATCATTCCTCATGGGACAGGACCCAGCACTACAGAGGAGGTATTAGCTTATGTGGCTCTTGCTCCCTATTACAGCCCCAACTTTACAAGTAGACCCTCTGCATTGCATTCTGTTTTTGATGTTCTAGGATGATGGGTCAGGAAGCCCTGACCATGATCTACCAGACACCTGTCCACGAACTACTGGTTGCTGACCCCCAGTCATTTGAAAATTGATCAATCTTGATGTACCTATGGCCTGTCTCATTTCCTGAGGCCCTAAAATGTCAGGAGAGTACAAATACCCCCCAAATGACCTTTTTGGGAAAGTAGACAGTCCAAGGTATTTCCTAAGAGGCATGGCAAGTTTTTTGAAGTTGTAATTTTTTTGTCACAATTTTGGGAAAATTAGGATATTAATTACAATTTAGTTTTTTTTTTGCACTTTTTTTTTTTTTTTTTTAAATACTGTCATCAGTGCAGTACATCATCATCATAACTGGCGTGGTGGATGATCATGGATACTGACTTGGGACAATATCTTACTTTTGTTTTTTTAACATACTGTCATCAGAGTAGTTCAGTGTCACTACTGTTATATGTGATAGTTTTAACTGTCATGAATGGCTTTCATTCATGATAGCTTACATACTTTTGTGATGCTGTGATTGGCTACAGATGATTATATGATACAGGGTGCCAGGTACCATGTGATAGCTGTGGACCGATGGCAGCTTCACAACAGTAAGCAAACTTTCATTAACAGAAATCATGACCTTTTTACTTACAATGTAATCATGTGATTGCTAAGATTGGTCATAGCAATCATATGATACCCTGGGTGCTCAGTGCAGCCGGGCATTGATCACCGGAGACCAGTCAAGAGTTTGCACCACTGCGCACCCCAGGGGGTACTCTAGCGTGCATGTGCTTAGCGATGTACAAGTACATTACTGCCATAACCTATAGCTGCCATCCACACGCATTGAATCTACTATTAGCGAGCAGCATGTGGTTAAGTTAGAAAATTGAAGATCCAACATAGAGGGGAAACCCACTTTTTGTTGAATTTCTCATAATATTGCACTGAAAAGCACTCTCAGAAAGCAAAGAGTCAAGTCAGTTACTTCCACCACTTGTGGATTAAAATTGTGGAAAATTTCTACTTCAAAAAAACTGTTGAGCTCTTCAGCTAATGCGCCACAAAAAGGTGCTGGCAAATTGTATGCCATAGAAGGAAATGTTAAGTGTACTCCTAACTCAATGTAGGCGGAACTACATATTAACCCACTTTCTGTTAGTACATATTGCCTGCATTTGTAATAAGTTTCAATGTTACAGTTTTTCTATGTGGTCAGAATCGGCTGAAATTCCACGCCCTGGTAATTGCAGGACACCACTGGCCAAAGCCGTCACAAGTGACATTTCAATACTCTATTCATCAAAGTGGCGTTGTGATGCAGTGGGTCACGTCATAACCTGCTGCACTCATAGTACTGCATATAGTACTTTGTGAAGTAGTGGGAGTGAAACCAACAACCACAACTTGCTGTGCTGAAAAAACGACTGCGTATAGTACTTTTTTTTCAACACCCGCCACAGATTAGGGTTGCACTGGAAATAGCTTTCAGAATAGCCCCAAAAGCAACAATTCAATGTTGATTTCATATTTGCATTTTTATTAAAGGATTATATACAGTGGGGCAAAAAAGTATTTAGTCAGCCACCAATTGTGCAAGTTCTCCCACTTAAAAAGATGAGAGAGGCCTGTAATTGGCATCATAGGTAGACCTCAACTATGAGAGACAAAATGAGAAAAAAAATCCACATTGGCTGATTTGGAAAGAATTTATTTGCAAATTATGGTGGAAAATAAGTATTTGGTCACCTACAAACAAGCAAGATTTCTGGCTCTCCTTCTTTAAGAGGCTCCTCTGTCCTGCACTCATTACCTGTATCAATGGCACCTGTTTGAACTTGTTATCAGTATAAAAGACACCTGTCCACAACCTCAAACAGTCACACTCCAAACTCCACTATGGTGAAGACCAAAGAGCTGTCGAAGGACACCAGAAACAAAATTGTAGACCTGCACCAGGCTGGGAAGACTGAATCTGCAATAGGCAAGCAGCTTGGTGTGAACAAATCAACTGTGGGAGCAATAAATAGAAAATGGTTGCCCGGGCAACGAAGGAGTGGCTTCGTAAGAAGCATTTCAAGGTCCTGGAGTGGCCTAGCCAGTCTCCAGATCTCAACCCCATAGAAAACCTTTGGAGGGAGTTGAAAGTCCGTGTTGCCCAGCGACAGCCCCATTACAGGAAACATTTGACCTCTGTCATTGCCAACAAAGGATATATAACAAAGTATTGAGATGAACTTTTGATATTGACCAAATACTTATTTTCCACCATAATTTGCAAATAAATTCTTTCCAAATCAGCCAATGTGATTGTCTGGATTTTTTTTCTCATTTTGTCTCTCATAGTTGAGGTCTACCTATGATGCCAATTACAGGCCTCTCTCATCTTTTTAAGTGGGAGAACTTGCACAATTGGTGGCTGACTAAATACTTTTTTGCCCCACTGTATGAAATAAATAAAATAAAGGTCAGTCCATGGGGGGTGTCTCCAGCAGCCCTCCTGGTGAGACTGTCTGCTGGTGTATCTCTTGTTCCTAAATGTAGATTGCCCCGCCCTGTGTCATTATGCAGGGAGGGGGGGATTGTCCCCTTGTCCCTTGAGTGTATATATCTTGTATCTGTGCTCAAATAAACTCGTCTACCTCCTGGTTTACTTCAAGACTTGTGTTATCTAGTCTTGTATGGTCGGCTGTGGTGTCTGTTGTCGGTGTTTGGACGGGGAAGCAGTATTCTAACGGAAGTAGTACTAAAGCGCAGTCTGGGGTCGGTTCTGTTACAGAGCCTACTTGCAGTATACACTGTACATGGGATACTAACGTGTTTCAACCTTAGAACCTCACATTTGTGGCCTTTCCATGAATCTGGGCAAGGAAGAATATTATTATTATTATACAGGATTTATATGGTGCCAACAGTTTACGGAGCGCTTTACAAAATGAAGGTAGACATTACAGTTACAATACAATTGGGTACAAGAGGAAACAGAAGGCTCTGCTCGTTAGAGCTTACAATCTAGGAATATAAAAGTAACAGTAATATTAATCTCATGTAATAATATTAAATATAACATTATGGTACATTTCACATACCTGAGTGACTGATCTAAGGTCATACCCGTGAAATCAAAAAATTTAAGATATTCTTCTGCCACAAGCTTGCTAAATTCATTGCTGTGAGAAAAACAAAATAAAACAATTAAAATGTTTGTGCAATACAATTGTTTAATTAGAAAACTGCTAATTTTGACAGCAGTAATTAGAGTGCCTAAAATGCTTCCTTAAAAGCATACTCAAGGGTCCCAGTAATAATTATTCTTGCGTTAAAAATTACAGAGCAACATATTGTACACAAAAAGGGAAATTACAAATGCAACAAAATAAATTATAATGGATGAATGAGTCATGCAATTTAAAAGTATTTAAATGCCTCAATTCAAATGCAGCCTCTTAATAAGCCTAACAATCAACAGCAAAATCTCTATAAAATGTAAAATGGTATGCACTAGGGAATTCTGGGATTCAAGGTCTACAAAGAACACAAGAAGCATCAAAAAACCAACATCTGACCTGTTCTAATTATCTGATATGTTCATATTTTACTGCTGATATGATTTGTGAAAATGAAACAAAGGTTACAAACAAATGAACAGAAAACAAAGGAATGAACACATACTTTAAGAGATAGGTTTATAGTGCTGCAAGAGTAATTTAGCATAATCCACTGCCCTGTATATTTTATACACAATAGGCATTTTATTCCATGTGGAAAAATACAGTTGTATTTAAAGAAGAATTCCATGTATGAATATTTTAGACATAGTTACATTGGTCCAGCTTGGAGCAACGTAACTATGTATATACCATACTTGGCCGATGCCCCTGGAAGCTGGAAACCACTGCATTAGACAATGCTACTTCAGCGATCTCCACTTGCTTCTTGGTCCCATGCAAGCAGCTGCCCTGCTGTATTCTAAACACAGGAGGTCGGCTGCTTGGCACAGGCACCATTAAGAGAATGCTTTGTATTTTCTGAATTAATGCAAAGCACTCTCTGATTGGACAAGGTGGATAGGCGGGGCAGTGATGTCACATTCTCCACCTCATCTAATCAGAGAACGCTTTGCATTAATTCAGAAAATGCAAAGCGTTCTCCATATGGCATCAGTGCCAATCAACCAACCTCATGTCAGTGACGGGACAAGGTCATCCAGTGCCCGGGATGAACATGGCAAACTGTGCCCCCATGATAGGTCTAATAATGGTGTAAGGTTTGTAATGTTTGTGACATGCAGTGAAATAGTACTAATGTACCGCCAAGCTTTTGAAGTTGACATGAGGGACATTTCAGAGAAATCGCGACCTGTGACGCACGTAGCGCATTACAGAGAGGAATGGGTGTGCTTATATTATGCTGGCCGGGAGGGGTCAAACTGCCACCCGCTGGGTGCCTCAACTGCTGCATCCTTTAGCTGCAGAGTGCCTGGGAATGTACACATGCTGTGGCTGTGATGTTTTGCGTCACAACTGTAGCATGAATTATCCCCCTTGTCAAACTTGACCCATTCACATTAATGGTGCTGCTCTGCAACTGCAGCATGCTAGTGCAGGCTTGAAGGTGTTAAAGTAGGGAGTGAGAGGCAATACAATGCTCCCTGAAGAGCAATCTGAATGCTGATCGCTCTTCAGAGACCAAAACATGTTTGAACAAGCCCTAATTATTATTTTTTTTTTAAAATGTAATATAGTTTTCAGAATGTAATTATTTTTTATTTTTTTCACTTTTAACAGTCCTGTAGTGGCTTTGTTGAAATATCAGGCCTCTAAACAGACCCTTGGGGGTTTATTTACTAAAGCTGGAGAGTCCAAAATCAGACTCCCTTCTGCATAGAAACCAATCAGCTTCCAGGTTTCATTGCCAAAACTTCATTGAACAAGCTGAGGTTAGAAGCTGATTGGTTTCTATGCAGAAGGGAGTCTGATTTTGGACTCTCCAGCTTTAGTAAATAAACCCCTTGATGTCTAACTTTTGAGACAGAGACACCATGTGTTTTGGTGTATATGAAAATGCCTGTGTCAGTAGATGCATGGGGGTGCCAACAGTTACTGGCACTACCACACATCTACTAATGGACAGTGTGTTTCAGTGGGTGTCAGGAAAGTCACAATTCTTTGTACATTTCTGACCTGCAAAGGTGTGAACCTAGCCTTATAGTGAGGTCACACTGGTGTGCTGCGGTTTGGCTGCAGTGTGATTGCATGCGCGGTTTCAGGAGTGCTCCCATTGAATTCTATTACACAGTGCGTATTCTGAAAGTGCATCAAAGATGCAGCATGTAGTTTGGTGTGCTTTCATGACAACGCACTGTGTAATAGAATTCATTGGGATCACTTCTAAAACTTATACAATTACATCGTGGCCACACCGCAGTGCATGGTGGATAAAAAGGAGTGACTAGGTGGAGTTTTATGACATAAAAAAACAATATTGGTGAAGCGCTTCACATGAAAAACTAAATAAGTAGGTGCAATGATATAAAAAAATACATATAAAGTGACCGCACTGTATTGAAAGGTATTGATAACTAATGCTAAATAATCCCCCGAAAAAATATATAAGTGCTTAGTGCTGAAAGTGCAAAACAGGTCATGCATTTGCTGACTAGATCGTGCCAAAATAAAATATATGCACAGTAAACATAATACACAATAACATTACACACTCTAACTGAAAGTGGAAAGTGCTCCGTATGGGTATGAATATAGGTTAAAAGTAAAATCCACAATAAAGTGCAAAACAGGTCATGCGTTTGCTGACTAGACCGTGCCAAAATGCAATATATGCACAGTATACATAATACACAATAACATTGCACACTAACTGAAAGTAAAAAGTGCTCAGTAGGAGTATGAATATTGGTTAAAGTAAAATCCACAATAAAGTGCAAAACAGGTCATGCGTTTGCTGACTAAATCGTGCCAAAATACAATAAATGCACAGTGAAATAATACACACTTGCACTTTATTGTGGATTTTACTTTAACCAATATTCATACTCCTACTGAGCACTTTTTACTTTCAGTTAGTGTGCAATGTTATTGTGTATTATGTATACTGTGCATATATTGCATTTTGGCACGGTCTAGTCAGCAAACGCATGACCTGTTTTGCACTTTATTGTGGATTTTACTTTTAACCTATATTCATACCCATACGGAGCACTTTCCACTTTCAGTTAGATTGTGTAATGTTATTGTATATTATGTTTACTGTGCATATATTTTATTTTGGCACGATCTAGTCAGCAAACGCATGACCTGTTTTGCACTCCTAGCACTTGGCACTTGTATATTTTTTTGGGGGGGATTATTTAGCATTAGTTATCAATACCTTTCAATACAGTGCGGTCACTTTATATGTATTTTTATATCATTGCACCTACTTATTTAGTTTTTCATGTGAAGCGCTTCACCAATATTGTTTTTTATGTCATACATCCTGTGGTATTGGGAATAGGTGGTAGCAGCTTGCATATATTTGGGGTTGTGTTTGTTCATACCAGTGGAGCGCAGGGGGATTATATATTTTTATAGGTGGAGTTTTAGGTAGTAACAGTATGTTTTAATAAAGTGCAGAGTGAAGGAGTGCAGAGAAAGTGCTAGGGTTGCATTGGTGGAATGGAAGGGGTGTCAGCCAGACGGCTGTGTGGAGTGCCCAGAGCTGAGACCACAGGCTGCAGGGATGTGTACAGTGCAGATTTATGGACCGGACAGCAGATAGAAGATGAAGGGTTAATGTGAACAGGAAAGAAGAGCAGGAGAATCAATGACTGACAATTGTGCAGTCAAGGTAAAGAGACATGTAGAGAGTTGAAAGTGAGATAAGCAGGACAAATTGAAAGTGACCATCAAGGAAGACTGACGTGACCCTGGAAGGAGAAAAAGCTGGGGGCAAGAGCAGAGCTCGAAAGGAGAGGAGGGATTAATGGCTGCGGGAGAGAAAAGGCAGAGCTGAAGTGGCCAGAAGTAGTGGCAGAAGCTCCCAGTGTACCCCCCTCATCACAGATGACAGTGCCCAGTGCATGTGCCCCTTCTGCCCATCCCGTGTCCCAGCCCTGCTCCTGTATTCAGAATGCAGAAGAGCAGACCCACAAGCAAGTGGAGATCACTGGGTTAATGGAGTCTATTTCAGTGATTTTCAACTTCCAGGGGCATTGGCACTCATAGTATATGCACAGTTACATTGGACCAAGCTGGACCAATGCAAATATGTATCAAATAACCACGCCTGGAATTCCTCTTTAATGCTCATGGGATAATGCTGTCCTGCTAATAACTGTTGTTTTGAATACTGTAATGTAATTCGACAACTAGGATGATGATTGCACACTCACCGGCCACTTTATTAGGTACACCTTGCTAGTGCCAAGAAAATATCCCCCACACCATTACACCACCACCAGCCTCAACCATTGATACAAGGCAGGATGGATCCATGCTTTCATGCTGTGTACACCAAATTCTGACCCTACCATCTGAATGTACCAGGAACCAGTCTGCCCATTTTCTTCTGACATCAACAAGGCATTTTCATCCACATAACTGCCGCTCACTGTATATTTTCTCTTTTTCGGATCATTTACTGTAAACCCTAGAGATGGTTGTGTGTGAAAATCTCAGTAGATCAGCAGTTTTTGAAATAATCAGACCAGCCAGTCTGGCACCAACAACTTTGTCATGTCCAAAGTCACCTAAAGTCCCTTTCTTCCCCATTCTGATGCTCAGTTTGAACTTCAAGTCGTCTTCACCACATCTACATGCCTAAATGCATTGAGTTGCTGCCATGTGATTGGCTGATTAGCAATTTGTGTTACCAAGCAATTGAACAAGTGTGCCTAATAAGGTGGCCGGTGAGTGTATACAGATCGTGATTCTACCTTCCGTATTTGATGGCCTCGGTACTGGACAAAATGATGCTGGTGTTTGGGCATGGGGATGGTTATGTAGGTACAGTAGCCCCTGGATTTTATTGGTTGGCTGAAAGCTGTAAATTATTTTATTGACATGTATTGCAATTCAAATAGGTTTTATATTGATACTGCTAATATAATTGCACCTGCATGTCTTTTTTTTTTACTGATAAAATCTGCATGTCTTCTAAGTGAACTTTCACTTAATTTTCACACCTAGCAGCAGACAGAAAAAGATGTCAATTCTATGGTGAATACGATTCTACCCCCCTCTAAGTTTCACTTCATTACTGAGATTCTAGTTAATGGCTAAGCCCTATAATTATAATAAATAATATAAATGGTACTTGGCTTAGGCATGAAGCAAGGCCCCTGAAACAAAAGTGAATCTAAACAAGAAAACAAAATTGGCTTTTTTTGTCGAATACAATTAATGACCGGTATCTTGTGGCATTTGCACTAAAGCAGGAATTTACTTTTAAAAGTCTTAGAGTACAAGTTCACTGTAAGAATGAGCACATGGAAGCCCTTTGGAATACAACAATTGCACTATTTCTCTTACGTGGTGCTGAGTTGTGCATCCCTAAGATATACTCTAATGAGTAATAGAGTCTATTTACACCAGTGCGTTGATCTACGTTTTAGTGCAGCTGTAAAATGCAGATCAACAGAAGGACATCTGAAAAACAATATATTCCAATGTGTCCTATTCACACCATAATGCTTTGCATGCATGTCAACGGATGTCAAAATGTAGGTCATCAGACATCAAAATGTATGTCAACAGACATCAACGCAGGTTAAAATGTGACTAAAATGTATGGAAATGTACAAGCAAGTCAGTGTGAATTGGACCTAAAGATGCTTTTTAAGCATGCGTTATATAATGCATTTATAGCATCTAATCAGACATAGTTTAATTTTCTAACATATAGTAATTAAAATAAAATTTTCTTGCCTATTTGTTGTTGTGGTCAGAGTATAGATGACCTTTGTGGTGAGGAATGGTCTTGTAGCAGTCTCTGACCCACAACTGATTGACCAGAACCTGGTAAGAACCTTCTATTGGATATTACAAGAAAGAAAAATTCTGGAAATGTCATTGAATTCACCTAAGAAACTAATCTCCCAAAAGCTCTGGTTATTGTGTGAGGATAAAAGCTTTAAGAAAACCTGCCCACTGCCTTCTCAAACAATCCAGAGCAGCCCGAAAAACATATTAGCATTATAAAATCTAGAATGTGGACAGTTTGAAAATGTATCCAAACTTTAAAGCAATTCTAAAAGGTTATTTTTTTTTTGTAAAATAACAAACATGTCTATACTTACCTACTGTGTGCAGTGGTTTTGCACAGAGCAGCCTGGATCCTCTTCTAGGGTCCTCCACAGGCTCTCCTTTATCCTCCAGTCTGTCGGGTACCCCCACAGCAAGCAGCTTGCTATGGGGGCACCCACTGCTCAGTGTGTCCATTCACACACGGAGCTGTGGATTGGCCCCGCTCCTCTCTCTCCTCATTGGCTGACTGGCTGTGATTGACAGCAGAGGGAGCCAATGTCAGAGACCCGGAACAGCTGAGGCTGTCATTCACATCACTGGATCGCGATGAAGCTCATGTAAGTATTGAGGGGGCTGGGGGCACTGCTGCAGAAAGAAGGTTTTTTTACCTTCGTGCACAGAATTCACAAAGGTAAAAAACCTTTAGTCTTTACAACCACTTTAAATCTGCGTTAAGCATGCAGATATTCAATCTGTGACAATATCTACCAAGCCTAATTTTTTCAAGGTCCAAGATCTTGCCTACAAAACTCTACCTGGGCCATAATGAAATAGTACTACAGATACATAAACAGTTCCCTGCTATTTATTTTGCTTAGATATTACAAAAAAATGAGTCACAGAAGACTAGGCAATCAGCTTTCATCGAGTGCGAACTGTGAGCTAGGGACAGAGTGAAGAGGTTGAGCAGTTCCTTATTGGCCAAACATTGTTTTAGATCAACTACCTCCATAAAAGCTGTATCCTTGAAAACTGCCATTTGTAGCAAGAAAAATTAATAACATGCAGCAAACCAAATAAATATATTCTAGTGATGTATAGAAATGAAAATCCTGGTTCCGAAACCAAAACTGAAAATTCAGGATGCACTTGGAAAAAAAAGAAAAACATTTTTTTATTTAATTAATGTGGCTGGCAATTTTGCTTTGAAGTCACTAGGGGGAATTTTTGCATTAAAGTCAATTAGGACACGACTTTGCATGCAAGTCTGAGACGCGATTGTGCACTGAAGTCACAAGGGGGGCGTTTTTGCATGAAAGTCTATGAGACGCAACTTTGCATGTATCGGCACCTTTTTTTTCCTATTGGCATTTTGCAGATAACACTATTTTCGGCCGCTGATATAAATGGTGCATCCTAATATAATCTAAAAGTGACAGATTATTAAACTCCAGCAATTACAATGGCAAATCATGTACAGATATTATTGATGTCTACACCAGCACATATAGCTTATTTTCTAGCTTGAAAGTCAAAATACATACTTTTTTTCCTAAGTGCTTTGCGACATCAGAGCGCTTAAATCCATCCAGCTGGTATAGACGTTTGGCCAGGCGTTTTGCAGCTTGTACGTTACTATTGGTCCCATTGCTGAGGTTTTCAGTGCTTCCTTTTTGAAGGATTTCAGTGCTGCCCATGTCATATGAGGCCTCTAGCGGTTTGTTGCTTGGTCCTGCATCACTAGGGAGAAAAAAAAAAAACACGCACGGCTCAGTTTTTTTCAGACATAAAAACATTTGGAGGAAGTTTTTTTTCCTTAGCAGAAAGGTCTGTTTTTTTTTTTTTTTTTTATACCCTTTGCACAGAAACATACAGAACAACAAAACTCCATGCTAATGCTACAAACAGTTCCAAATTTAACATACAGTTTTATCCAATACAAGTAGTTCCCGTTAACTATCCAGAAGGTATATGATAGAAATGACAAAAAAACTTACGGTAATTAAAAAATTTTTTTTTTTAATCTTGTGGGGGGCATATTGTATTGCTTGATGGCAGCACCTCTTCAAATTCAGAAAAAGATTATAGCACTTTGGTACAAAAAGTAGTAGACTGCAATTGTTACTATAATTAGCAGAGAAAGAAGATATAATAAAAAATTCCTCAAGGCTCTATGCACACCATTGTTTTTTTTATATGCCCAAAAAATGCTAGAAAAAAAAAATGGATAAAAAGCTCTGATGGTAGGATTTTGTGCCAGTTTGCAGTAGCGTTTTAGTAGAAGCACATGTTTAGGAGCGTTCGCATTTTATTTGAATCTTTATAGTACATGAAAAAGAACAAAAGCTCGAAAAAAGCTGATAGGAGCAGTTTAGTAGCGTTTAGGAGCGTTAAGCATTTTTTTCTGCTTGAAAAAGGCTTCCAAAAGACTCTACATTTTGTTTCTGCTCCTTAGCTTCTGGGAGCAGAAAAAACATGCTCATAATAGTTTCTAGGAGCTTAAAAATACCCAGTGTGCATAGAGCCTATATATTGAGCAGAACAATCATGAAAGTTTGGCTTTTGGAGAACAGCTGGGCACTCTCATGTAAAATTCTAAAACCACTGAGGGTTTTGAAAGAGCAAGAGAGCTGCATGTGGCCCAAAACACACCAATTAGACATGCGTAGTATATCAGAGTACACAATCATTCATAAATTTCACAATTTTTTAAATCTAAGGGAGCACCCTCAACTTTTAGAACAAAACCTTCAACAAGCTCACGTTTGGATGCTTAGACATGAAAAATTCTTCAATCCAAGCTGCTCCAGTTCACTGCCTCTTCAGGCCCTCCCTGCTGACAGACTGACTGTTAAAATGGAAGCCACCAAACCCCAGATTACTGGTATCCACATTTATTGCAAATTATATCCACAAGCTTGGCACTGACAGCCCCCCCTCTGGTACAACCACTTTAACACATTTCACCCACAGGGTTTAGTCGTAGAGATGGGGTAAAGCAGCATTTGCCAAAGCCACCAACTCTGGTAGCATGGGACAAACCATGGGCTATAAATAAACGTCCAGCATAAAAAAGGAGTAACTAAAACAAAATCTTTGGTTACATGGTTAGTCTGGCTGAAAAAAAAGACAAAGGTCCATCCAGTTCAACCATTTAAAAAAAAAAAAAAAAAAAAAAAAAGTTATCTCATACCCACAGTTGATCCAGAAGAAAGCAAAAAAACCCAGCAAAGCATGATCCAATTTGCTCCTGCAGGGGAAAAAATACTTTCCTGATCCCCCGAAAGGCAATCGGATATTCCCTGGATCAACTTTACCTATAAATGTTAGTATCCAGTTATATTCTGTGTATCTAGGAAAGAATCCAGGCCTTTTTTAAAGCAATCCACTGAGCTGGCCAGAACCAACTCTTGAGGGAGTCTATTCCACAATTTCACAGCTCTCACTGTGAAGAAACCTTTCCATGTCTAGAGATTAAATTTCTTTTCCTCCAGATGTAACGAGTGCCCCCTTGTCCTCTGTGATGACCTCAGGGTGAATAGCTCTACACCGAGTTCACTATATGAAACCACTGATGTATTTATACATGTTGATAATATCCCCCCTTAATCTCCTCTTCTCAAGAGAGAATAAATTCAGTTCCTCTAATCTTTCCTCATAGCTGATCTCCTCCATGCCTCGTATAAGTTTGGTTGCCTTTCTCTGTACTTTCTCCAGTTCCCCAATGTTCTTTTTATGAATTAGTGGCCAAAACTGAACTGCATATTCCAGATGAGGTCTTACTAATGATTTGTACAGGGGTAATATGATATCTCTCTCTCTGGAGTCTATACCTCTTTTAATACAAGAGAGGATTTTGCTCGCGTTAGAAACCGCACTTGGCATTGCATGCCATTATTAAGCTTGTGATCTACCACAACTCCCAGATCCTTCTCCACCATTGATTCCCCCAGTTGTACCCCCCTAGTATGTATGATGCATGCACATTCTTAGAGCCCCCAAGTGCAGAACCTTACATTTATCAACATTAAACCTCATTTGCCACATAGTTGCCCAATTAAACAGTGCATTGAGGTCGGCTTGTAAGTTGGGGACATCCTGTAAGGTCGTTATTCCACTGCACAGCTTGGTGTCATCTATAGTTACATGGTTAATCTTTCTATATCTTTTGTATGGTTAATATGAATTAAGTCACCAACCAGAAAAGTATTTTCTAAAGTTAGCCATACAATATGAGCCGATATAGTTACAGTTCAAATAAAATTTTAAGAAGAAATGGGAAACAGCTGGATATGACATGGAAATTTGAGTATACTATACCCCAAAAAGCTCAGGTATGCTGAATTCTCTATAGGATTCAACTAATCTCAGCCACCATACACACTGTAATCAGTATACCTTTTACTGAGTGCCGCATGGTGTATTGGGATATGAACTCATAACAAATGCTTATTATAAGTAAAACACAGACAGTAAGAAAGTAAAAAACAGACAAATTACAGAATCATACAATATAAAATGGCAGATATTCTAGTTTGCACAATATATTTTTCAATTCAAGATAAACTGACAAATATATTTAAGGGGGGGGGGTGTCATTTTGAACTAGAAATAAAAGTTTTAGAGTTAAGTGGCCATGTGAAAGAAGTAAAGGAGTGGTATATCCTTTGCGCTCTTTACATATTTTGCCCAGTTTTATAAGCAAAACTCTTGTCCAACTTTAGGCATGTGTCTATCACAGAAGTATTTAAAGGTAAGCATTGTAATACGAAGCTGAATTAAGTTGTGAAAAAAGGCAGACGGTACCTATTTTTTTACTCCACTGAGTGTCATACATTTTGGGGCTGTTTAATACCACAATAAAAAGATATATCAATGCACCAAATGTGTGCACTGCAATGCACTGCAGAGCACTGCGTTATGGTGCGAACAGGCTTTCAGAGAGCTAGTTATCACTGGTTATCAGTGAATGTGCATTTTCTGACTCCTTGCAGAAATATTCCACTTTATAGAGACTACAGACTGTGGGAAATTCAGCAACATTAATCACCAAGCACAGCTTGTGCACACTATTATCTCTGACTTTACTTTTACATGGACTGCTATATATGAATTTTAATTCAAACTCCTTCACACACCAGCAAATAGGGATGATGTACCTCTAATTACTCTTGCTAACTTAGTTGAGCAGCAGGCTTGCTAGTCATTAATCTTTAGCCTTTAAATGAACCTGTTTCAGTGGTGACAAAATCATTATGGATGCATGCTAACAGGTGTGAAAGGTGCAGTAACTCTTTTTTTTCCTTTAAAGTAAAGCGCAAGGTCATTTTTTAGCAGAAATAGGATTTTATTCCACTATTACCAGGGAAAATCAATGCTGAAATGTCAAAATTATGATTTTTTTTTATTGGTTTTTTTATAGTGCCATCAATTTACACAGCACTTTACATATAGAGAATATATTGTACATTGACATCAGCCACTGCACTCAAGGAGCTTACAATCTAAGGTCCCCAATTCACATTCATGCATATACATACTAGGGCCAATTTAGACAGGAACTGATTAACCTAATAGTATGTCTTTGGAGTCTGGAAGGAAACTGGAGTACCCAGAGGAAACCCACACAGGTACAGGGAGAACATGCAAACTCTAGGCAGGTAGTGCTGTGGTTGAGATTCAAAAGAACGACCCTAGTGCTGCTTGTCGAAAATGCCAACCACTGAGCCACTGTGCCAATATTGGTTTTCTTATGCATTTGAATACCATTAGCACATTTACTTCTGCGTTCATTTTTGAGGGTAGTATATTTAATATGAGAAAAGGTATTTTGCAGCTTTTCAAAATACCCTGTAAAAAAAGGGACCTTCCTTTTGAGGGCCCGTCTCTCCTACTATGAATATAGAGACAAATGTGACCGCTTGTTAGCTAGAGCCTTGATAACCTAAAACCTCCCAATCATATGACTCAGCCCTGACAACCACAACTGGCACCAAAATTCTGGAGTTGGAAGACGCCTTCTGTAAATTTACTCTGCTCTATATAATTTGAGCTGTACTCCTTTATCCTCCCAGCATATGACTACACGCTCTTTACCAAAACCCTTGCAGCCAGACTGAATGCCCTCTTAACACGTCTCATCTATCTGGACCAGGTAGACTTAATTCAATCCAGAGAGGCTAGAGGCAATACCATTAGAACCCTGAACATTATTATGATGGCCAAGAAATTCAATACCCTAGGTTACTTCTGTCCACAGATGCAAAAAAGGCCTTTTAACAGAGTCAACTGGTCCTTCCTTATTGAAACCTTTAAACCATTTTAAATGCCTACCCCGATCTTGTCCTGGATATCTGCCCTTTATTTTGCTCCCTCTGCCATCGATAGGGTCAACGGCTTTAACTCCAGCCTTTTTGCAATCTCTAATGGAACCAGGAAGGGTTGCCCCTATTGTCACTCCTATTCATCCTCGGAGCCATTCCTCCAACACATCAGACAAAAACAGAAGGTACGGGAGGGTGCATTCCTCTACCTATCAACACAAAGTAGCAGCTTACACCGATGACTTCCTCTTTTACATTATGGAGCCTCTCACTTCACTGCTATCCCTTTTACAGGAATTGAAACGTTATGGATCTCTATCGAACTTTAAGGTAAATCGTAAAAAATTGGAGGCGCTTAACATCTCCTTCCCAGACTCTGCCCTCAC